CTCGTGTCAGGAAGTACCTGGTTCAAAGGGGTGCTAAGAAGAGCGGGGAGCGTGGCAGAACTGCGAAGCACACTCACAAGATGGTGCGATTTGCCTTTGATATACTGCGCTCAATGTTCAAGAAGCATGATGATCTTCGAACTCCCGCCAATGTAGCAGGGTTCATACCCATCATAGGAGATGCTATTGTTGATGGAGAGGATGAAGTCAAGATATCCGCGTTCCGCCTGCTTGCAGCACTCATCAAAGTCCCCTTTGACTCTGAGGATGGCAATACTCTCTACAAGGTGGCTGTCAAGGAAGCTACAAAAAGCATCTCGCAGTCTACTTCTACGACGACGGAAATATCACAAGCGGCTATCAAGCTCTTGGCCGTTTTGTTGCGCGAACGCAAAGATGTTGTTGTCAAGGATGCTGCGATAGACATGTTGCTTACGAACCTGAAAGAAGATTTCACGGAACCTCTCTATCGACACGTCACGTTCAACTTCTTACGATCCGTCATGGATCGTCGAGTCGAAACAGCTGTTGTTTATGATACTTTAGATCACGTGGGCACAGTCATGATCACAAATGACGACAAGAACACGAGGGATTTGGCACGCGGTGCCTTCTTCCAGTTCATTCGAGAATATCCTCAAAAGAAGGCGCGGTGGAGCAAACAACTCGATTTCGTGGTGGCAAATCTGAAGTATGAGAGAGAGGGAGGACGACTGTCAGTTATGGAGGTCATCCATCTCCTACTGACGAAGTCATCTCCAGAATTCGTCCAGGAAATAATTGGAACTTGCTTTCTTCCGTTGTTTTTCGTTCTTGCCAACGATGATAGCGAGAAATGCCGCCTTTATGCCGCAGAGCTGCTCAAAGAGGGTTTCCAGAAAGCCGACAAGCAACGAACGCAACAATTCCTGACGCTGCTTCGATCGTGGCTGGACAAGGACGACAACCCTGTAGTACAGAGGTTGGGTCTTCAGACTTTCGGATACTACTTTGAATCGCATGAAGATGCCTCAAGTAACAAGAAAGACGGTAGACTGGTTCTGAAAAAGACTGCCGAAATCCTCAAGACTGAAAGCATCAACGACCCTGACAGCCAGTTGATTGAGACGACACTAGGTGTTCTTCAGCTGTTTACTGTGAACCTGCGCGACGAAGCACTCTCCGAGAATAGAAAAGAACTCTGGGCAGATGCGGCTCGGCATCTCAGACACTCGCAACCGACGGTGAAACTGGCCGCGGTGCGATTGATTAACGCATATCTGGCAGACTTTGCTAAGCAGCGGACCAAAGCATTTGCGGGAGAGGCAATTGAAGGCTCTCATGGCCTCACTTTGGACCTGGACGTCATGTACAACTTCACTCGCCTTGCCCTGGGCTCACTGAACAGCAATGAAATCGATGAGACACTGGCTGCGGAGCTGGTGCAGGTCATTGTGTTCCTTGGGACTTGCCTTCCTGTGTCTACCGCCGCCGAGGATGGAGATGAAGAGGAGGTTGAAGAGCAGGATGAAGATTCTGCCGCTGAGGGGTGCCGGGAAGGCGTGGACTACTTGTTCTGGAGGTTGTCGCACATCCTTCGCCGAGAGATCCCGCCGAGGTCCCTGGCAATCAACTCCAAGGTTGCTGCGATGGAAATTCTGGAGACTGTGTGTCGCCGCGTGCTCAACACATCCAGTAGACCTTCTCTCAAAACCATCCTCGTCCCATTACAACAGCTCACGGATCCTTCCATCCCCGCGCCATTCAGCAATGATGAGGGTTTCACGGCCAAATTGGAAGGCGTCAAGACAAGAGCCCAGATCATGATGGATTCTTTGCAGAAAAAGTTTGGTACGGCTGAATATAGCAAGGTGTTGGTGGAGATCCGAGATGAAGTCAAGGCGAGGAGATTGCAGAGGAACAGCAAGAGGAAGATTGAAGCAATCACGCAGCCTGAGAAGTATGGACGAGACAAGAGAAAGAAGTTCGAAAAGAACAAGGAGAGGAGAAAAGTACGATCGAAGGAGCAAAAGGTGGCTAGACAGTCGTACAAAGGATGGTAACCAGGACATTTGGAAAGGCGTTTTAATGGGGGCATTCTGACCATGTTTTTATCTGGCATACTTTACGGCAAGATACAAAGTTGTACATATCAATGGAGGCGTAAATATCTCATCATATCGACTAGGCGTTCCCCCCCCCCCCCGGGCGAAAAAAAAAACAGACTCTTACTTTATTGCGGAGCAGGGTATCTGTCATCCCCTAATCCAAAACGCCAAGAAGTGCCGTATAATAATGCATAATCCCATTAATCGTAAAAGATAATTCTGCATAAGCAAATCACTTATCCTTGGAAGCCTCCTGCTGGCCACTCGACTCTTGGGGCCAAAATTCGATATCCCCATCCTCACCAAGACTTCCTCTCTTGACGAGTCGGCCCTTTTCTCTCATCAGGTCCTCAACCGTGACTTTTCTGTCGCCGAAAATATTCAAATGGTCGCTGATGACATGTCTGTTTCTACAGCTAGGGCAGGTGATGAGTGTTGAGCCCACATGGTAGCCTTGTTTCGAGACGTTGTGATGCGATCGGTGTCCGCAGGGCACGCACGTAAACGATAGCTGATAGTAGGCAGGGTTGGCTTCTGGTCGTTTCCCCTCGCTGATGGGTTCTTCGCCCGAGGTGTTCGCCTGCGCCTCTGCCTCGGGGCTCAGCAGGATAGGCTTCTTGGGCGGACGCGGGATCGAGTGTGCGGCGCGGACGGCGACCGAGGGGGAGACTTTGGCAGAGCGCCATGATGATTGATGAAGAGAGATTGTAGCGCGCAGGGGTTGATGTCGGGGAAGCCGGAGGATTGGGCGAATTAACGACGGCGCTTTGGATGCCATGGTTGTGTCCAGGGGGGCTTTGTGGTAGAAATAGTAGAGGCTCAATCGGGGGTCGGTGGCATAGATGAGGCGAGGATTGAGAGACGGGGAAATTTTGGAGCTTGAGATTTGGCGGGATTCACGGATGGAGGTTTCCAGAAGTTGGGGACGTCATTACATGTACATCTTCGGAATTACCTGGGACCCACTGTAAGGCACTGGACCGTGGTGGGCACGGGTGGGTCGGTCCTCTTTGTCTCGTCGAGTTTGGTCTTTGGAGAACCGCCAACGATGGAAACCTGACAATTCAATCACAAAGCGCGTAGAAGCAACAAATTCAATAGTACAATGTCGTGTATTATTTCTGCGATATATATGAGATACGATGCCATCTCAATCAGGCACTTGGCAGACATGGCTGGCTTCTCTTCTCATCCTTGTTGAGGTCCGAACAAATGCATGTGGGGCACTTGCCTCTTTGGGTTGTAAGTCGTGGTCAGTTCCTCCTCACTTTAAGATCAGAAACCGCATGACTGGGTAAAGTGCCCGTTGTTTTTAACTTCCCTAAAGACGGCGAGATCTCACGGCAGACCTCAAAGCTTCGTTACATGTGAGAATCTCAAAAACTCTCGTTGTTCACGTCACTCTAACTTGCCTGGTAAACTGGCCCTCCCTTACAACAACGGGTGTGTAGAGGAAGGCATTTTATCTTGTTGGCTGGAAAAAAAAAAACTCCCTCCTCTGTTTACCCGCAAAGATGAAGTTCCTCCTAGGTGCGTCTCTTTACCTTGTCTTCGTCAACGGTGTGTTTGTAAGCAGCAATGATGCCAATAACGCCTTGGCCATGGTCAACCAAGCCCGACAGGCCAAAGGAGTACAGCCTCTTCTTTGGGATGCCAGTCTGGTGACTTACGCCCAATACTGGGCGGATGAGATGGCGAGTGGAAGACGCCCCTTTGAGCACGCACAGGGAGCCAACCGACCCAGTCAAGGCGAGAATCTGTATGAACAGTCAGCTGGGCAGTGCGATGCCGCCTACGATAACCCGTTGCAAACGGGGATGCATGCTTGGCTTTCGCAGGAACATCTATACACGGGTCAGCCTATCATGACTGGACATGAGCCATGGCTGCACTGGGGTAATGGATTATGTTGCATCTACGGGGCTTCATGAAGGAATGTGCTGATGATTCATCACAGCACAGTGTGTGTGGTCTGCCACTACAAATATCGGATGTGCCAGAGCTTATGCCATCTCGGAGCCATACAAGTTCTTCGACGTCTGTCGATTTACACCAGAAGGAAATATGTGAGCATGAAGTCACTCCTCGGAGGCATGGATTGCTAATTTGGCTAACATGCGTGGATCGTAGCGTCGGACAGAAGCCGTTTTGATACAGATTACCACTCCTGCGACCTTGAGAGGAAGCATCGGACGGACGCCTCGATTGCCTCGATTTCAAACAAAACCAGAGGCATCATGCTCATAAGGCTCGTCGGCGTGGATTTAGGAGGCTTATACTTTTGATTCGAAAGTGACATTGTGGTGGCATAGAAGAAAGAAGGAGTCATGGAAAATGAAGGCTACTAGGTGGGCGGATGTAAAACGAGAAACTTGAGCTGCGAGTGAAGTGGCTTTTATTACGCAGATGGCTCTACCCATAAATGAAATTTCAGAAGAGAAAAAACCATCTATACCCCCTTATACTTATTTAACGTGCAACCTAGCACTGAGAATGGGGTTTTGCTCAAGACCATAGCACGCACACTGCTCCCCAAGATAACAATCAATGTGAAGACTGGTCCGGTTGAACGTTCTCCCCTGGCACGCAAACACGAATTAACATAGGCAGACATACATACATACATCTTGGGTCTGTGGCAAAATATTCAGATATTCCTAGCCAAGTTTTAGAATGCAATATGTTAATCAGGACACTAACAGATAAGAAGCATTGGCTAGCATTATTTGTCACAGGCAAGACGTTGCTAACCTTCCCTGACAGCAACTATCCAAGCTCATTCCTAACATGTATATACAAAACAATAACAATTTTTAAAATGCCTAGACTAAGAAGATGGAACAAAAAGAGAAGGACGGATTGAAAAGAAAAGCACCACTATGAATTCCAATAAAGATGATAATCAAAAAAAAGTGAGGGACACCGGATTTGAACCGATAACCTTCAGGTTATTCCAAGTAAAGTAACTGGAATCTGACGCGCTACCGTTGCGCCAGCCCCCCTCTTGCACATTAGTTTTTCCTATTTTCAAAATACATAAGGGCTTTACAAATATTTACATTGGCCAAGAAATCGGCAGAAAGTAGGACCGAAAGATGAAAACAAGCTTTTTTATATTCTCAGCCTTTGCTCACGCATGTCTGCGGATTACGTAAGGCAAACCGCAACCTGAGTGGTCCGTGCATGGATTTTCTTCTACCCCAGGACTCCCTCAGGAACTCATTCATTACTTACTACTCGCAACCACCTTTCCCAACCCTCCCTCACCCCATCCACGCGCGTCCCGCACCTGTCGCATCTACACATCGATGGCGTCGGCCGACGTCGGAATCCCGCGTCGTGAGCGCGATCGCGGTGAACGCGGGCCTCAGCGATCCCAGCGATCCCAGCGCCAGCGACCACCCCAGCGAGATGGCGATTCGTACCGGCCGCCTCCGCGAGAGCGCACGCCCCCCCCCGTGCGAACAGAGGAAGAGAAGCAGGCTGCCGCAAAGGCAGAGTACGAGAAACTTCTGAATATGAGGTCGGGAGGCACGTACATTCCACCGGCCAGGTTGCGGGCCTTGCAAGCCCAAATCACCGACAAGACAAGCAAGGAGTACCAGCGCATGGCCTGGGAAGCTCTGAAAAAGAGCATCAATGGTTTAATCAACAAGGTCAACACTGCCAACATCAAATACATTGTTCCCGAGCTGTTTGGAGAGAATTTGATTCGAGGACGAGGTCTTTTTTGTCGCTCCATCATGAAGGCTCAGGCCGCGAGTTTGCCCTTTACGCCCATCTACGCAGCCATGGCAGCCATTGTCAACACCAAACTACCGCAGGTCGGCGAGCTGCTCATCAAGCGCTTGATCATGCAGTTTCGAAAAGGATTCAAACGAAATGACAAGTCCGTTTGTCTCTCATCCACAACCTTCCTGGCCCACCTGATCAACCAGCAGGTGCAACACGAGATGCTCGCCGGGCAAATTCTTCTCCTGCTGCTACACAAGCCGACAGACGACAGTGTGGAAATAGCCGTCGGGTTCTCCCGTGAGGTGGGGCAGTACTTGGAGGATATGCAGCCCTCTATTTCAGTCGCCGTATTCGATCAGTTCAGAAACATCCTGCATGAGGCCGACATTGACAAGCGAACGCAATACATGATCGAGGTTCTGTTTCAGGTGCGCAAAGACAAATTCAAGGACAATCCGGCAATCAAGGAAGAACTTGACTTGGTGGAAGAGGAAGACCAAATCACCCATCGGGTTGAACTGGACGGTGAAATCGACGTTCAGGACGGCTTGAACATATTCAAGTTTGACGCAGAGTGGGAGGATCACGAAGAAGCGTACAAGAAGCTCAAGGCAGAGATTCTGGGCGAAGGAAGTGACTACGAGGACGACGATGAGGATGCAGACGAAAGCTCCGAGGAAGAAGAAGAGGAAGAGGAGGAGACAAGGGCAATGGAAATCAAAGATCAATCGAACACTGATCTGGTCAATCTGCGAAGGACCATCTACCTGACGATTATGTCGAGTGCCGATCCCGAGGAAGCAGTACACAAGCTCATGAAAATCAACCTTCCTGCGGGCCAGGAGCCTGAACTACCGTCCATGATTGTGGAGTGTTGCTCGCAAGAAAAGACGTACACCAAGTTCTTTGGTCTGATCGGCGAACGATTCGCAAAAATCAATCGTCTATGGTGCGACTTATTTGAACAGTCCTTTGCCAAGTATTACGACACTATTCACCGATACGAGAACAACAAGCTACGAAACATTGCTCAGCTGTTTGGCCACATGCTTGGCGTCGACTCCATCGGTTGGCACTGTCTGTCTGTGATCCATCTGAACGAGGATGAGACGACGTCCAGTAGTCGCATCTTCATCAAGATTCTGTTTCAGAGCATCGTGGAGGAGATTGGGACTCCCAAGCTCAAGGCAAGGATGACGGATGACATGTTGCGGCCAAACTTGGAAGGCATCTTCCCCAAAGACAATGCCCGCAACATCAGATTCTCCATCAACTACTTCACCAGTATCGGGCTGGGTGCCCTCACGGAAGAGATGAGAGAACATCTCCAGAACATGCCGAAACCAGCCTTGCCGGCTCCAGCAGCTGCAGATGAGTCCGACTCGGATTCAGTGTCGAGCTACTCCTCGTACACAGGCTCCTCATACTCGTCCCGCTCACGATCGAGGACGAGGACCCCTCCCCCTGGCCGAATCAGGGGCCGCTCCACATCGCGAGCTTCCTCCCCCGGCCGAGGAAGATGGCGTTCTCGTTCGGACAGTCGGTCTCAATCTCGGTCTCGGTCTCGGTCCCGATCTGCATCCTACAGTTCGCGCTCACGCTCGCGATCGCCCCCCAGACGCAATCGGCGAGATTCGTACTCTGCTTCACCACATCGACGACGCGGACGATCCGTGTCTGCGTCACGATCACGGTCCCCACCTCCAAAAAGACGTCGAGCTCGAAGCGCATCATACAGCTCGCGTAGCCGATCTCCGTCACCTCGTGGACGCGCTCGCTCGCCGTCTGCAAAATCAGGCTCCCATGGCCGAAACAGCTCTTCTGTGAGCAGTGCACCACAGCACAAGCGCAGACGAACCGGTCTGGCATGTTGAAAGACGTATTAGGGCGTCACCATGCGAGAGGGCTGAATTTACTAGTTGCGTTGAGGCTGTGTTGGAACTTTTCATTTGGGGAGTGGGACGGGGGACGGGGGACGGGGGTTCTTTCTCCCAACTTTTTTCTCATCGATTACGGTGGTTATGTTGTACATTCAAATAATAATAACAAGATTACAGATACCTCGCCCACATACTCCGTACATGCTTTGTTATTGATGCTATATAAAGCAGGGGTCACAATGGCCACCCGAGCAAGACGTGGAAAAAATGATGCTACGATGACGCGCCAACGGCCAATGTGAATCATCCGACGCCATCAGTGTGATTGATGGAAGCATCTCGGCCATGATGGAATCTGGAGCGTAAGTGCACGCACACATGCATGTTCATTCACAGCCTGACTCATATTGCCGCCCGTTTTGAAATTGCCCAGGAACAAACGGAGCCCGCCCGTTCAAACGTATATTTACAACCCCCCCGTTCTTGAAAAATCCCCCCCAAAAAATATCACACAAACAAAACATTCCTTGATCCGTGAAGAGACCGCTCCCTTCTCTCGACTTTCATTCATTCCGCTGGCACACACTCATCCAAACCATGCCCTTTGATTTCGGGTCCGCAAAGACCTTCTTCGGCGCCGCGAGGAATGTCTCTGCCGCCCACCCCTTTGCCTTCGCGGCCGTGGGAGCAGGACTCCTGGTCGTTGCTGGGCCGGGCATCGTCGCGGCTCCGCTGTTGGGCGCCTCGGGGTTCGGGAGCCTTGGTCCTATCGCCGGTGCGTATTGTGTGCTCCTTGATTTTTGGCTTTGCAACTACATTTACGCACGCGGTGGTGTCTAATCTTTTGATCGGGTTTTTTGGTTTCGTAGGATCGGCGGCCGCATGTGTGCAGAGTGGCATCGGAAATGTCGTGGCTGGCAGTGCTTTTGCTACGCTTCAGAGCGCGGGGATGGGGGGCGCTGGTGCCGCGGTCGTGAATGGCGTTGTTTCTACGGTTGGGGGGGTTGTGGCTGCTGTTGGGGCGGTGTCGACGACTTCTTCTAAGAAGGGCAAGGATGGTCATGGTCATGGTCATGGCGCTGAGGATGATGGGGAGCGTGATGATGGGGTGGAAAAGGCCTAGAGGGGGATGAGGCCATTCAGAGGTCACGAGAACAAACACAAACAGATGATGCAGAAACGAAATTGATGGACGCATCATTGCAGAGCAGGAATCCCGGTGCCATTTGCAGCATCTAAAGTACAGTACGCATTTTCTACAGTCCATCTCATACATATTCCGTCTATCCCGAGACCAATGCGTCTCGCGACGCAGTCTCCTTCTCCCGCTCTTCCTCCACGCTCGTACCATCTGTACCATTTGTACCATTTGTACCATTCGCCACCGTCCCCTTCTTGGACGCCTCCTCCGCTGCCGCGAGCTCCGCGAGTTCCGCCTGGGACTTCTTGGCTTCCAATTCCTTCTTGCTCAGTCGAATGGCTCCCTTGGCCAATGCCTCCCTTGGCAAAGGTCGGATGATTGGCTGCGCAACCCACCACGGCCGCTTACACTTCCGGATTGTGCCTTTTGAGCTCTCACTTGCGTCCAAGCCTTCCTCGTCCCGTGCATCTCCCAGTTTCTCGAGCTCCTCCTCAAAGCTCTTGCCGCCGGTGGCTTCGTATTCGAGCAGGCCCTGTGCCACTCTTCCCTCCACGGCTTGCAGGACCCGCTCATACCCATTGACCCCGTCCCGCCGACTTCGCGCGAGCATGTCTCTAATATCAGTGTGTTTGGTGACAAAGTGACGCAGGAGATGGAAAAGGTGCGGCTGCATGGCTACCAGGTTGGGCGATGGCTCATCCCGTTTCCCGGCGCTGCTGTCGCCGTCCCTCTTGCGTCGTTTCTTGGCGGGCTCATCCGGCTCCGTCTCCGCCTGTTGATTCTCCTCCATCCAGGCTGTGTCGTCGCCAGGAATGAACAAGGGCCGTCGTCGCGGAGGGTCATTGCCCAAAGCGTACTTGTGTAGAATGTCCAGATATCGCCTTGTGATGGCGTCGACCCGCCAACCCCCCTTGCCGTCTTTGCCGCGCCAGTACTCGCGGCCTTCTTGTCCCAGGGGGGGTGGTTTTGCGAAGAGCGCCGGGTCGCTGAGGTTTCCCTCGGCGCTCATGATGCCGTCTGCGCCTGTCGCTGCTAGGCACTCGTCGATGTTGCTTCCTTGCAGGATGTTGCCGTTTGCAAATAGGACCGTCTCTGGGGGCAGACTATCTCTGAGGAAGCGAAGCATGTTCCAGTCCGCTATGCCAGTCAAATGGCCCTTTTGATCTCTCCGCCTTCCGTGAACCGTCAAGATGGACGCCCCAGCTTTTAGTACATTCTGCGCGTACGCCAGTGTTTCTTCTTTATT